CTGGGTGAGGTTTGCCACCCCATCGGGAATGCTGTCGGTCATGTATGGCAAGCAGTCCACTGCCCTGCAGAACAGAAAAATGCACCAGGCAAGCAAATCAGCATATCGACCTTCATTCGTGTTGCAGGCATGCTTCAAGAGGTCTCACCATACATAGACAGGCTGTAGCCAGCAAATGGGACTTCCCAGTTCTAGGTGGGGACTCACAGGGACTTGAGCCAGGTGATGTTGTAGAGGGACCCCCATGGGATGTGGTCCACTTGTGAAAACTCCCTGTGTGTGTGTGTCACATGCGGTGCGGGGAACGACAGGGAAGGAAGAGAGGTGTGATGGGGATGGTGATGGTGATGGTGATGGTGATGGCGATGGCGATGGCGATGGCGATGGCGATGGCGATGGCGATGGTTATGGTGATGGTGATGGTGATGGTGATGGTGATGGTGATGGTGATGGTGATGGTGATGGTGGTGGCTATCAATCACTGCAGATCGTGTGGTATAGTGTTAACGCTTCGATATCTTGCAACGAGAGCAGCAGAATAAGAAACAGACGCGCAATAGCTGGGTTCAGTTCAATGAAACACACAGGGAGGGAGGACCGCACGCAGGTACTGATTCCACTCGAACCACACCGAACCAGACTACCCCCAACCCACGCTAGCTTATACTACCTGCGTGTACCGCATGACCGTACAAATGGGTGAGTTGACTCAAAAGTCAACCACACCGAACCAGACTACCAAGTTGACTTTTGAGTCGACTCAAAAGTCAACCTGCGTGTACCGCATGAGCGTACAAATGGGTGAGTTGACTCAAAAGTCAACCACACCGAACCAGACTACCCTTACCCACACTAGCTTATACCTGTGTGTACCGCAAGGGCGTACAGTTGGGTGAGGCGCGACAGCTGGGTGACGGAGGTGGGGGAGAAGAACACCACTTTCAACGTGTTGAAGCTCCTGCGCACAGGAGGGAGAAGTAGACCACAGGAGGGATGGGATGGGATGGGATGGGATGGGATGGGATGGGATGGGATGGGATGGGATGGGATGGGCGTTGTAGGGGTGATGGGCGTCTAAGTGAGGATGACCTTTCAGAGGGGGGGGGGAGGGGGGGGGAGGGAAGGGGGGGAGAGGAGTTTGTGGAGGAGAGCGTTTTCGTGGGTGGGTGGGTGGGTGGGTAGGTGGGTGGGTGGGTGGGTGGGTGGAAGGGGTGTTTGTGTTTCTGCAGCATGGGCCACATCCATAAATGCGCGTCTGGGTGGGCGTCGCTGCAGAGCAATAGGAGCTCTGAATGAATGAAGTCAGGTGAAGACAAGGAAGAAACAGGACCTCGCGATTACAAGAAGCAAGACTTGCAGGGCCTGAGGAGGAGGACAACAGAGCGGCTGTGAGTGAGTAAGTGAGTGAGTGAGTGTGCTCAGGCTGAATCGGGGCTGGAAAACATGCAAGCAGCGTTTAGTTTGAGCAAACATGTGGTGGAGGGGAGGGGACAGCTGGAGAGGCTAATAATGATTGCAGCTAGCAATGAAGGATACACGAATGGCACAACACAACACTGCAGTGTTGCGCGGAGCAAGAATGGCAAGATAGGACACAACACAGCACAGCAGGGCGCGGGCGCACATGGAGGTGATCATGCCGCTTGTATCGCATGTGAGGCCTTGCGCTTGTGTGCAGTCGCTCCCCGCCTGCCAGCCCGTGAAGTTTGTGCTCCACGACGTCTGCAACTCCTGCAGCACATCACCTGCCGCACAGCGAGCAACAGCAACCGTGCAAACGGGATGGGGCACGGCTGTGAGGGAGCGTTGACTGTGTGCGTAAACCGATAGGTCACGGCGGTGTAGGTAGGCAGGTGGTGGGCGTGCCGCGTGGGGAAGGGAGACATGCCGCAGGACTTGTGCTCAAGAAGCAAGCAAGCACGGACGTACAAGAATGAAATTTGTTGATATTTAATTAACAATGATGCCCATTGTTTGTTACACCTCACACGCAGAGCTTTTCACAGCCGCCTGGCCTCGCCAGCCGGGTGGCTGGCTGGCTGCCTGGCTGGCTGTTCTCGCCACAAGCGTCAGTGCGTCATGATGATCCCACCATGCAAGCCGGCTGGGGTGTTCACAGCGGGGTATGAAAAGAGTGACCGGCGCACCTTGCGACCAACGCACCTTGAGAGTCCGCGATGGGCTGTGCGAGCGACGTGCACGGCAGGCAGCAGCATGTGATCGCCGCAACGAGCGCCACGAGACACCGACGGGGACCGCGAAGCACCGCCATAGCCGGCAGCTTCAGTGCCGCGCGTTGCGCCGAGCTGAATTCGTCCCGTTATCTTTGCCACGCAGCCTCCGCGATGCGCGGAGCTTACTTGTCCGTCATTACTATCAAGGCGCGAAGGGGAGACCTGGATGCGCGTTGAACTCCTGGTGGCGTATGCGGGGCTATTTGGAGGATTTTCAGAACGAACCCCTGCGTTCGTAGGCCTTCTGGAGTCACGTGAGAATACCAACAGGAATCCGAGCCAACAGGAATCCGAGCCAACAGGAATCCGAGCCAACAGGAATCCGAGCCAACAAGAATCCGAGCTAACAGGAATCCGAGCCAACAGGAATCCGAGCCAACAGGAATCCGAGCCAACAGGAATCCGAGCCAACAGGAATCCGAGCCAACAAGAATCCGAGCCAACAGGAATCTGAGCCAACAGGAATCCGAGCCACCAGGAATCCGAGCCAACAGGAATCCGTTGCGGCGATCTAATATCGGTTCCGAGATGGTGCTGCGGTTGATACGCACTATTTCGACCAGAAGGGCACGGGGTGGTATTCCGCCTTGCCGGGCGTGCTCGTTCACGGAGACAGGGAGGGGACGGAGCAGGGAGCAGCACAGAGCAGAGCAGCACAAAATTATCGTGGCGAGAATGCGGACTACGTCGGGAACAAGGCAAGGTGTCGGGTCCATGACGGGATAACATTCTCATCTCGCCCACTGCACCTGCGGCCATTATGCCTCTCCCCGTCGCCTGAAACCAGCAAAAGTTTTCTCTCTGGAAGCATGTAGTCCGCACGGCACGGCCCAGCACTACTTGGGTCCGAAAAAACAAACACTAGTCATGTGCTGTGCCGTGCCGTGTCCCACAATTATATGATTCGAGCTTACCGATATGGTTGGCTAGGAGGGGTTGGTCAAGGTCAATCATATATTACTGTTACGTGTGCAATGTAGAGAAGAACTGAGGATTGCACTAAGTTGGCAAACTATAAAAAATGTGAGCGATCTAACATTTATAGCGAAACAAGCAAACACTAGTGCGGTGCGTGCGAGCTAGCTTTTGCGATGCTGGCAGCGAGGTAGAGAACAATGTAGATAACTAGCTAGGATTGCACTAAGTTGGCAAACGAGTACAAATGTGAGCGAAAGCATAGGGGAACATTGTTGAATTATATTGCATATCCTAACTGCCTACAGCTTGCTAGTGTATTAGTTAGTTATTAGGTTCAACTGCTGGTGGTGTACCCTATCCTCTCCCCTATCCTATATCTTGTAAACATTCCTTAGTGAATCCCCTCTTTGCCCAATTCTCTTGCCATGCTCACTCTCGACACTCACGCTTCCTAGGTAAACCCTAAGTTACTAAGTCAAGAGTTAAGAGCGTGTTCTGACATGATATCAGAGAGTGGTCCCTCCTAGGACCTCGTTTTCATGGGCCCACCAAACCCGCGATCTGCCATGGCGACTTATTGTGCTGCTGGCATGGCTGCTACTGCTAGTAGCGCGAAATCCGCTGCTGGCTCGAACTCCGCTGCTTTTGCAGCACCCGTCGCGCTGCCCCCTTTCGCCTGCCCCGTCGCGCTCTGCCAGTGGCGAGCGTGCCAGCGAGGCGACGGCGGGCGCCAGCGCAAGCGCCAACGGCGGGCGCCAGCGCCAGCGCCAACGGCGGGCGCCACCGCCAGCACCAACGGCGGTCGCAAGCGCCAGCGCGGACGCCAGCGCCGACGGCGGGCGCCAGCGCCAGCGCGACGCCAGCGCCCAGCGCCAGCACTTCCGCCAGCGCCAGCGCATGGGGGGGAGGGGGATGAGGGGGTGGCGGGAAAGCTTCTGCCGCGCCAGCCACCTCCTCTCCTCTCCTCTCCTCTCCTCTCCTCCTCCTCTTCTCCTCTCCTCTCCTCTCCTCTCCTCTTCTCCTCCAGCCGCATCTCCTCCTCTCTCCTCTCCTCTCCTTCTGCCGCATCTCCTCCTCCAGTCTCCTCTCCTATAGCCGCATCTCCTCCTCCTCTCTCCTCTCCAGCCGCATCTCCTCTGCTCTCCTCCTGTGCACCACCACCAGCTTCCTCCTCCTCACCAACAGTTGTGTTTGCTCGTAGATGGCGAGCGACCAGCATCCTTCGCCCTCCGGCTATCCCAGCCCTCCTCCGCGCTCTCCGCGCCCTCCTCCGTTCTGGCGTTCACAGGTGCTGCCGCTCAGCCACCGCTGTTTCTGTGCCTATCCCAGCTACAGCAACCGCTCTCCAGGCGACCTGGTGCCAGACACCACTAGCTATAGCCGTAGGCAGTTACGGGGGTGTGTTGAATTATATTGCATATCCTAACTGCCTACAGCTTGCTAGTGTATTAGTTAGTTATTAGGTTCAACTGCTGGTGGTGTACCCTATCCTCTCCCCTATCCTATATCTTGTAAACATTCCTTAGTGAATCCCCTCTTTGCCCAATTCTCTTGCCATGCTCACTCTCGACACTCACGCTTCCTAGGTAAACCCTAAGTTACTAAGTCAAGAGTTAAGAGCGTGTTCTGACAAACATATCTATATATCGAAGTTCAAACTCTAACCGCTTTGAACCGTGGCGAGACGTTACTCAACTGTATCCTACTGTGTAAAACCTTTCTGAAAGTTCGAATTTTGGCAAAGTTCGACCCGGACGACAACACGATCCCTTAAAAAACGAAACAATAACGGCCTCACACACATGTGAACTGCCAAAAATTGGTGTTATGAAGCTGCATACTGTCAGTTCAGTTGCCTTGACACAGCGCATCGAGGCGCGCAATCTCTGCATCCACATCAGAACCTGACATCCTCTGCGTCTCCACCTGCTGGTCCACCTGCCGGGCGGCGGAGTTGCTGCGTGCACCGCCGCCCAGCGCCACCAGCACGGCCTCCAGCTCGGCTGCAATCACCCCCATGGCCGGCCGCATGGCGCTCTGCTTGGTGGTGCATCGCAGTGCCAGCTGCACCACCGTCAACACCAACTCATCCCGCGCCTCCATGCGCGCGTCCTTGAGGCCTGCCACCACCGCCCTGTTGCTGCCGGATTGAGCCAGCTGCTGCTGGACCTGGTTGGGGATAAAGATGGACAGAGATTGAGACACAGACGCTGGTGTATGCGGCAAAGTCGTGGATGCGCGCGAGAGAACGAATAAAGAGCGGAAACACGGCTACTGCCGGCACCCTTTCCATGCCCACGGACGTACCCAGGGAAGGATGTGCAGCTGCTGACCCGCCTCTTCATCGGAGGGATCGGCGGTTGAATTGGTGCTGATGTGACGGCTCGTCATGAGCTCAAGCATGAGAATGCCAAAGCTGCACACCACGACACCCCGTGGACGGGTGACAAGAGGAGTGGTGAGGAGATGAGGGGAGAGGTGAAGACAGCATGAGAGCCGCCCAACAGCAGAAGCAAACCACCAGAAGGACAAGAAAGGTTCATTGCTCACCTGTAGACATCAGTGGCAGTGGTGGCCTTATTGGACGCGGCATAAGAGGGATCCACATAGCCTGGTGTTCCCACCACTCGTGTACTCTGCACTGCCGTGCCCTCGCCCTTCCTCACAAGCCCAAAGTCTGAAATCTTCGCCTGATCTCATGCATAAACGACAAAGGACATGAACAGGGATGGATGGATAGTGAAATATTTAGGGATTCGGTATCTTAGCTCGCACACACACATGGCATGCAATACATGACAAGCAAATGATGTGGAGAAAGTAAGGACAGCAAATGTGGGCAGGAATGGGCTGATAGAAAATCCAAGTAGGAACATGTAGTGCAGACGAAGGAGCTCAGTGTGACATGTTAAAACGCTACATTGACATGAACCCAGTGTGACATGTTAAAAATTTGTGCTTTTTGACAGCTCAGTGCTGAACATTAGCCTTAATACTTACGGAGCCAAGTGTAACGTAAGGTTAGATACTTAATTAGGATTCACAGGCATCATAATTCAGAATAATTTCTCCATACTGAACACTAAGTTTGGTTCTTATCACAAACTCAATGCGTACTGAGGTTTGATGCTTCCAATTGTTGCAATGCTAACCAGTGGTATTGGTGGGGACTCAGTGAGCAGCAATTGATTTGCTGCTCACTAAACACCTGGTGGTGCTAAACCTTACATATGATAACTACCAATCAGTTGGTGCCACATGTTAGGTCCCGTACTACGCCCTCGGCCCTTATCGTAAAGTTTGTTGCTTACCAAAGGACTCACCAGTCCTAAGCATTGAGCTTAGGCTTTACCAGAGACTCGGTGATCAAATTGATGCTACTAATATAGCCATGGACTCGGCGTTACTTCCCATGTGCAAATGTGCAATAGGCGCATGTGTCCTTGGCTGTTCGTAGAGAGCATGTGGCGTAAGGAAGTGGGAAGCTGTGATAATGACGCAACCTGACTTGCTGCGGGCGGGTCAAGAAGCTGCAAGGCATTGCATGAACATGTGAGCAACAGCCCTGCAGCACTTGCCTGCATGCCTGCAGCACTTGCCCGCATGGTTTGATCCAGCAGGATGTTGGCGGCATTTGAGTCGACTCAGAAGTCAACTTGCCTGCATGGTTTGGTCGAGCCCCACTTGCCTGAAGCTGTGGAGATACTCAAAGCCGCGTGCCGCCCCCACCAGCACGCCCACCCGCTGCTCAAAGCTCAGCGGGGTCGCTGCCTCTGCAGGGGCCAGCGCATAGGAATGACGGGCAGAGAGGACGGGAACGGTAGAGAGGGGGGACCATGAGAAGCAGGCAAAGCAGGCAAGGAGGCTTGTATGAAGAGGCATACCTGCATGGACAGCTAGGCGGGGGACCCGGAACTGGAACATAACTCTCGTAAATGAACACTTCCCAAAACAACTTCAGCCCAGAAGCAGCGTACGTGCACTGTTATTAAGAATGCACACCTTTCCCGATCCAGCGCGAGAGGTCCCCGTTGGGCATGAACTCGTAGATGAGAATTTGCTCGACCTTCTTCCTGTCGGTAATCCCAATGGAAAATCCCAGCAGTCGCACGAGGTTGGGGTGGTGCTTCGTTGCCATCTCACACACCTGCCAGGCATGGCGGTGGGGCCAATAGAACACACGCTACAATGATATATCTGACACTGCCCTTCGCGACCATCACACACACACACCGGCCAGGCATGACGGTGGGAGCAACAGAACAGAGTTCAATGATCTTTCTGACACTGCTACCGCCTACCAGGATGGCTGGTTATGTGACACACACGCACTTGGCAGAAGAGACGGTGAAGCACAGCGCGATATGTGAGAGGTTGTGCAAAAGGAACAGTCATTGGGCATGCCCGGAAGCAAATGTGACACGATTGGATGGCCATGGCCATGCCACGCAAGTAGATTCTACAGTACAGCATCCAACGCTACAGTACAGCATCCAACGCTACAGTACAGCATGCAACGCTACAGTACAGCATCCAACGCTACAGTACAGCATCCAACGCTACAGTACAGCATCCAACGCTACAGTACAGCATCCAACGCTACAGCACATACACCACACCACAGCACACAAAATGTGTGGAACTTATCAAATGTTGACCACATTGTGTGAAAATAATTGGAATGAATGTCTTTCATTAGGAAACAAGAGAGCATACATAGTTTGGGAAGGGAAAGGGAGGGAGGTGGAGCTTGGTGAAGTGGGCCAACCTATGACCTATTGGGTTAAGTTGGCAATACTTGGGGAAGTGTTGCCAACCAATGGCCCATTGGGTTGGGTTGGCAACATTTGGGGAGTGTTGTCAACCAATGGTCCATCGCGCTGGGTTGGCAACATTTGGAGAAGTGTTGCCAACCAATGGCTCATTGGGTTGGGTTGGCAACATTCCCGAAGTGTTGGAACCAATTGGTGCAATTGGGGGCTCCACCACAATTTGGGTTGGATTGGCACCCCAACTTGCAAGGCTACACCCAATGTTGGGTGTAGCCCCAACCCAACTGTACACCACAATTTGCGTACAGTCACAAGTGTTGGCATGATACACAATATAATTCTAACACATTGGGTTGTCAAAGGGAATGAAACTGGAAAGACGGGGTTTCAAACGAAAGAGGGGGTTCGAACAGAAAGCGCAGAAAGGTGCTTGCACTGATCTCAAATTGGTTGAGATTTATGGGGGATTAAGGATACTGCATAAGGGAGAGAGAGAAAAAATATGTACAAATCTTGTCACCTGTGCCACTAGCCTTGCATGTGTTTTTATTCTTTCTTCCTTGAGTAAAAAACATTACTACAACATAGGGGTTTACACCTCAAGCCACCATACAACACATCGTGCTATGACATCACACCACATCACATCACATCACATCACATCACATCTCATAACATCACATCACACGCACGCACCTCGATGTCAAAGTCGTTGGTGATGACCTTGGCTCGCTTCACAGCCCACGGCGTGGCCCCATCGGTGGGAGAGACAGTGCGGTACACATCACCATAGGCCCCTGCCCCCAGCAAGTTGGCTTCGGACCATCCGTTGGTTGCCTTCGCCACCGCCGCCAGTGAATACTCCTGACACACCTGCGCTGCCACCTTGCTGCTCACCAGCGCTGCAGGGAGGAGCAGAGCAGACGCGAGAGAACGGGGAGGCAACGAATGCGACGAGTGGAATAGGGAGGCAACGGGATGTGATTCTAGGAGAATGGTGGATGATTGAACAACGAGCACCCTTTCCCCACTGATGACGACGAAAGATGTGCACATCCTTGTGACGAAGAGAGGACTACTGGAAAGGAAATCCATCCGAGCGACCCCATTGGTGCCCACCAAGGCTGCAGAGAAAACTCTTGAGAATTCTCACAAGGGCAAAGAGGTGAGGCGAGAAAGTGGCGGCGCAATGAGCAGCAAGGAAGGAGGTGAATGGAGGTGGAACGACAGTCACAGACGCAATCAAGTGACCCATAACTGCTCCAGAACAATCACAGGGTATGCACATGGCTCGTCGGTGCTGTGCCAGCCATGTAAGGGCAGGGCAGTGTGAGGTGGGACGGAACGCACGTTTGTTGAAGCAGTAGAAGTAGATCAGTACAGCAAGCGCCACAGTGAGAAGAACACCAGCCACGATTGCTGCGATAGCCCACCTAGATTGTGGCTTGCGCTTGTCACCTGCACACGGAGCAGCGGACTCCAACCCAGCATGTTCAATCAGCTGACAAATGATTGATTTGAATCCAAGGCGCAGCAAAGCAGCTCGGAGCACAGAAAAGCAGCTCGGTGCACAGAAAAGCAGCTAAGTGCTTGGATAAAAACACAGGGAGGGAAGAGAGGCGGGGCTCACATGTGGTGCAGAAGTCAGGGCAGGTGCGGCAGAAGCCAGAGGATGGATCCTGAGGCACACCGCAGCTGCTGTAGTTGTCAGGGCACGTGAGACCGCTGCTGTTGGTGTCTCTGAGAATGCCAATCAGGAGGGGGCGAAGGAAAAAGGGGGATCACGATCATGAAGGGAGATGCTTTGAGCCTCATCCCTTCCCTCACCTCTACCTGCTCTCCTCTACCTGCTCTCCTCTGCTCCGCTTGGCCCTCCATTGCAAGGCCTTGCACATGGAGGGGAGGACACATACAGGCTCAAACGACCGTGGCAGAGAGGATCCCACCCTCTTTCCCTCCCTTCCAGCTTCTTTCCATTTACGGCATATTGAGGGTGAAATGACCCCTTCCTTCCTGTCTTACTGGAAGTCCAAGTGGTTTGGTTTGGTTTGGTTTGGTTTGGTTTGGCCCATTGGATTGGACCGCTTTGTGCATAGCCAACCTTGGCTGCCCTCTTCAGTGTATGTACCCGTTAGCTAGCTGCCACTCAGCTAGAGATTAGAATAGTGCACGTTTGTTTGATTATCACTTACAGGGTTGAGAGCTTGTCTAGCTTTCCAAGGGCTGGGGGGATGGTTCCTTCCATGTAGTTGGAAGCGACGTTTCTGCACTCATGCAAAGGCAAGACAGATGATATTAACGAGCGAGGAAAGAAGAAGTCGTCGGGAATGAATGAAAAGATTTGGAAACACTGGATGGGAGCAGTTGGCCATGGCTACTACCTCTTGAGTCGACTCGAAAGTCAGCTGTATGAGAGCAGCTTGCCAAGGCTACTACCGTACGGCAGGGGTATCAGCGTGCAAGAACATCAGAGGGGCTGTGTCGTATCATGTGCCATTGTAACGAGGTGGTGACTCTTGAGTCGAGTGGACTCAAAAGACTGGATTGAAGTAGCTTGCTTTGGCTACTATGACAAGGGTATCAGCGTGCAAGAACATCAGAGAGTGTTTTTTGAGAATTCTCAAAAAGCACTCGCTAGTATGACAAGGGTATCAGCGTGCAAGAACATGAGAGTGTGGTGGAGGTGGAGGGGCCATGGAATAGACATTATCACCGCCCATCGCATCATCGGTGGGTATGCAGGGGAAGCGCGGCAGCAAAATGAAGTCACAATATGAGTGCGCAGAACATGCACATGTATGCCATTGTGAAAGTCAGAATGCATGTCTAGTGGGAAACGGTGGATGGAATTGGATTATAGCATCTGCTGTGAGGAAACTCACAGGCTGACCAGGTTGGTCATGGTTGTGAGAGATTCAGGTAGACTGCCTCTCAGCCCGTTATAGGAAAGATTTCTGATGGCACATGCATGGCATGAGGGGGAGGCATGGAGAACGAGAGTGGGGCACGGAGCATGAGTGAGAGAGACTTGGAATGGAAATATGAGGAGATTTGTTCCGATTCCACGAATGCAAACAGCAGCAGGAGCAGGAGAAGCTTCACAAGGAGAGAATCGTTCGTACCTGCGTGTGCTGATCTGATCTGCGTTCGAAGAAACAGGGACAGGTGCAATGGCACTTACTTGTTAACATGCGCAGCACAGCAAAGAAAAATCGCTTCTCAGAAATCGCGGCACGTACAAGAATTGCAAGGTGGGCAGGGTGATGTTGGGCAGCACTTGGTCTCCCTCCAACATAATGAACGAGAGATCCCTGTCGATTGATGATGCAAGATTTTACACACATGCAACAAGGATGCACACGCAGGCACGCGCATGCACGCACGCACGCACGACCACACAAGAAGCAGGTATCGTGGGCATGATGATGCAGGCACAAGGAGCAGCACATGGCAGATGCTGATGGATAGAGGCAGATAGGCAGGCAAACAAGTGGGGGCATGGTAAAGGTGGAGTGACCTTCAGAGAGGCATGGCAGCGGAGAGAAGAATGAAGCGGAGTGCCTGCCTCAGCCTCATGTCCGCTTCATTCTTCTCCCCGCTTCATTTGGAATTGTTGGAAGCACTGCCTGTTACACACTTGAATCAAATTGCCTTGCATTGAATGATGCAGCGGAACGGAATGGAGTGGACTGACAGAGTGGTGAGGCCGGAGAGACGAGACAGGTGCATGAGGCTGTCGGGCTCGAGTGGGTTGGAGCTCAGATTCCTGCCGGGCCGTGCCGTGCAGCATGTGTGTGTGGGATGGGTGGGATGGGTTGGAATTGGAAAGGCTTTTGAAGGGACGCACAGGCAAATCATGGCAGTGATTGGGGATGCGACATTGCGATGCGACTTGCGAACGTGGGCAATGGAATGACGTGGATTCACATGGTGGTGATGACGATGGTGGTGATGACGATGGTGATGATGACTATGGCAGGCAGCAGCAAGCCTTTTGAATGAAGATACTCAGCGTGCTTGAGTGGAACTCATTTGCAAATGAGACACTGGCAATGACTGAGACAACGCTCAAAGGGATTCCATAGCGCTCAAATGCATAGCTCTTCCTCATTTGCCACACGACGAAGATCTGACTTTTGAGTCGACTCAAGAAGCATAGCGATCAAATGCATAAATCCTCCTCATTTGCCACACGAAGATGCAGCAGCAGGGCAGGCAGGGCACGGCACATGACAGGAGAATGGCGCACAGTTTAGTTTTGAGACTTCTCAAAACAACACTTTTAACACGAAGATACAGCAGCAGGGCAGGCACGGCGGCACATGACAGGAGAATGGCGCACAGTTTCGCGAGTGTGGGGAAGTTGCTGTTGGTGACATCCATAATGGACGATATGCGGTTGAATGGAACCTCTCTGCACAGGCAAAGGGCGCCGGGATTGTCATGTCAGGGATGATGAGTGGTGATGAGTGGTGATGAGTGGTGATGAGTGGTGATGAGTACACAAGCGGAAGCAGGCAGTGAGTGGTGATGAGTACACAAGCAGAAGCAGGCAGTGAGTGGTGTTCTTGAAAGGTCTCAAAAACTACACCAATGTGAACAAGCAAAAGCAGGTACGTTGGTGTAGTTTTAGAAGGAATTCAGGGGGTGCAAGGAACCACCGACGGGGGGGCGAGAAAGGGAGGAGTGCAGGGAAGGAAGCAGTGACGGGGAGAGCGGAAGGAGGATACGAGTTAAGGGGAGCAGATAGATACGACGAGCACACAGATGCAGGTGCATTGCATGCACGGAGTTATGAGGACTGTTGCTGCAAGCTTCTAAGACTCAGGAGAAAACGGGCTTAGGGATATGAGCGAGGGGAACGGGATCAGGAAGAGCGGGTGTGGGAAACGGTTGTGTGGGGAACTGGTGTGGGGCTCACAGTTCCGAAAGGTTGGAGAGCCGAGTCAACTTGCCAAGCTCATTAACAAAACCACAGTCGCTGATTCTCCTGTGGGTCATGCAGCAGCACATTGCGCAACAGGAGAAGACACGTTTCACACAGACGAACAGAACATGAGGCAACGTGTCATGCAATGTCACGCAACGCCACGCCATTCCATTCCATACCAGGCATTTATTGTGCCATTGCAATGTTAATCCGTATCGTGCCATGCTTCCTGTGTTATTCTTCTGACGTGGGTGTCACTCACAATGCTCATCATGTCATGTGCAATGAGACACAACAAACAAGCACATGAAATGAAGCATGACCTGACGTGCTTACAGCCTGGTGAGCTGAGTAAAGTTCGCCATCCCATCGGGGATGCCGTAATGCGTGTGTGGCAAGCAGTCCACCGCCCTGGAAAAAAACGCAGCAGGAGAATCAGCAAATCGAGCTTCATTCGTGCTGCCTTCATGTTTCAAAAGATCCCATGAGACACGACAGGCTGCAGCCAGCAATCAGGAATTCCCAGCTCTAGGGGGGAACCCCATGGGGACTCACAGGGATTTGAGCCACGTCATGTTGTAGAGGGACCCCCATGGAAATTGGGGTACTTGTGAAAACTCCCTGTGTGTGGCATGGCACATGCGGAGAGCAGGGAAGGACGAGAGGGGTGGTGATGGTGATGGTGATGGTGATGGTGATGGTGATGGTGATGGTGATACAAATGAGGGATAAGAGACAGAAGAGCAATAGCTGGGCACAGGGAGGAGCACGCACATTCTGAATCCACTCGAACCAGACTACCCTTAACGTTGATTATCCTAGACTGGACTACACACCAGGTATCGATGGGGAGGAAAAGCACAACGCGCATTCTCAGAATCTACGTAGCATGCCAGCCCCTTTCCACACGCACGCACACGCACACCGTCACACGCACACCCACACACAGACATCCTCCCCCCCCTCCCTCCCCACCACACACACACACACACACACACACACACACACACACACACACACACACACACGCACACACACACATCCCACACATTTCCGTTAAGCACGTTACGTTCGACTGCCATATGAGAGCGCAGCGCACATGTAACTAACAACCCCTGTCTACCCCGGTGTGCCCCAGGGGCGTACAGCTGGGTGAGGCGCGACAGCCGAGTGACGGAGGCGGGTTCCCAGTTCACCACTGCAGACGTGTTGACGCGCCTGCGCACAGGAGGGATGGGCATGGGCGGTTCGGTTGGAGGGCGGGGGTGTGGGGCCAGTTGAGATGCGAGGAGAAGTGGGAGTCTGTGAGGAAGTGCGCTTTTGCGGGTGGGACGGGAGTTTTTGTTTGCGTAATGCGGGAAGGGTCAGACTCACGAATGGCCGTCTGGTCTGGGTCAACCTCGCTGCAGAGAGCAACCGGGGCTCCAGGCGGTCATTCGTAGGTCTGACCCTTGGTAGGAATGAATGAAGTCGAGTGAAGGCAAGAGAGAAACAGATCCTTGCAATTACAGCAATCACAAGTGGGAATTGCAGGGCCTGAGGTGAGAGTGACAGAGCGGCTGTGAGTGCGCTCAGATTGAATCAGGCCCCAGACGCATGCAAGATAAATTTCAAGCGAACATTGATTGCAGCTAGCAGTGCGTATGGCACGGCAAGGCACGGTGCAGTGCAGAAAAGAACGGCAGATACGGCACAGCAGGGCGCGCGGACGCACATGGAGGTGATCATGCCGTCTGAGTCGCATGTGAGGCCTTGCGCTTGCTGGCAGTCGCTCCCCGCCTGCCAGCCCGAGAAGTTTTTCTTCCATAACGACTGCAGCTCTTTTAACACAACACCTGCCGAACAGCCAGCAACAGCAACCGTGAAAACGACGGGGAAAGGCTGAGAAGGGGTTGGGCTGTGCGTAGACTGCTGGTGCAGCATGGTGAAGGTTGGTGGTGGGCGTGGGGGGAAGGGAGGAGAGCCGCAGGACAGGGCGTGTTTGCAAAAAGCAAGTAAGGACGCGGAAGAATGAGTCTTGCTAATCTTGAGTCAGCAGTGATGCTCATCGTAACACCCCCTCATGTGCAGACCCGTTCACAAACAACTGGCCAGCTGGCTGGCTGACAGGCTGACTGACAGGCTGACTGACTGACAGGCAGGCCGGCGTGCAAGCCGCATCCCCACCCTGCAAGCCGGCTGAGGTGGTGATGTCTCGATTGGAGGGTTTGATTGTGAACAGTGGAGTATGACGAGAGCGACCAACGCACCTTGCGAGTCCGCGATGGGCTGTGCGAGCGACGTGCACGGCAGGCAGCAGCATGCGAGCGCCGCGACGAGCGCCAAGAGACCGCGACGGAAGCCGCGATGCACCGCCATGGCTGGTGGCTTTAGGCGTCCGGTTGAGGCCGACAGGAGCAACGAGCAGCAGGCAATAAGCTTGACGGACGTTTTTGAAAATTTGCCTGCGTGTCAGAATTCTAAATCTACGAACACGTAGCAGTCGGACGGACGGCCAAAACGGCACGTGGAGAATCTGCCGTGCGTTGCGCCGGAGCTAAAATTCGTCCCGTTATCTCTGCCACGCGGCTTTCGCGATGCGCGCAGCGTACTTCTCAGTTATACACTATCAAGGCGCGAAGAAAGAGCTGGATGCGGATTGAACTCTTGGTAGCGAATGTGGGGCTTTTTGGGGGGATTCTCAGAGCGAATGATTACCAGCAGGAATCCGGTGCAGCGGTATTATTTCAATTTCGAGATGGTGCTGCGGTTGGTTCACGATATGTTAACAAGGATGCCACCGTCGTGAACGAGGGGTAGTATTCCGCCTTGTCTGGCCTGCTCGTTGACGGAAGGAAAGGAGGGATTGAGGGGACGGAGCAGGGAGCACAGCAGAGCAGAGCAGGAGAAGAAGGTCGTAGCGAGAATGCAGACTAGGGCGGGAACAAGTCGACGTGCAGTGTCTGTAACGGAATGGCTTTATCTCGGCCACCCCTCCTGCCCGCCATTATTCCTCTCCGCGTTGCCTGAAAACTCTCTCTCTCTCTCTCTCTCTCTCTCTCTCTCTCTCTCTCTCTCTCTCTCTCTCTCTCTCTCTCTCTCTCTCTCTCTCTCTCTCTCTCTCTCTCTCTCTCATCTCTCTCTCTCTCTCTCTCTCTCTCTCTCTCTCTCTCTCTCTCTCTCTCTCTCTCTCTCTCTCTCTCTCTCTCTCTCTCTCTCTCTCTCTCTCTCTCTCTCTCTCTCTCTCTCTCTCTCTCTCTCTCTCTCTCTTCTCTCTCTCTCCTCTCTCTCTCTCTCTCTCTCTCTCTCTCTCTCTCTCTCTCTCTCTCTCTCTCTCTCTCTCTCTCTCTCTCTCTCTCTCTCTCTCCTCTCTCTCTCTCTCTCTCTCTCTCTCTCTCTCTCTCTCTCTCTCTCTCTCTCTCTCTCTCTCTCTCTCTCTCTCTCTCTCTCTCTCTCTCTCGTCTCTCTCTCTCTCTCTCTCTCTCTCTCTCTCTCTCTCTCTCTCTCTCTCGTCTCTCTCTCTCTCTCTCTCTCGCTCCTCTCTCTCCTCTCTCTCTCTCTCTCTCTCTCTCTCTCTCTCTCTCTCTCTCTCTCTCTCTCTCTCTCTCTCTCTCTCTCTCTCTCTCTCTCTCTCTCTCTCTCTCTCTCTCTCTCTCTCTCTTCTCTCTCTCTCTGGAACCATCAAGTCGGCATTCAGCCCAGCCCTGCGTGATCCAATCCCAGAAAAACCACACCACTCGTGGTGACCCATGCCGTGCCGTATACTTCACACAATTATACATGAACAAGCGCAACTGGGCAACTCCAACAGGACTGGGAGGCGCTTTGTTGAGGGTGGAAGCTAAGGGGGTCGAAAGTGATTTCCAAGGAGCTAAGAGGAGTGAAGATTGGGTGAAAAGATGTAAACAAACTTATTTATAGCTAAAACAAGGGGCGACGAAATCGTCTTAGGGTTGCGGAGCTTTTTGGGTTGCGTAGCAACCCTTTATATTTGGTTTCACATTTTGGGGATATATTTTGAGGCGTGATATTTTACACACTTTTTGGAGCACACGTTTGAATGTTTGGAACTGTGCTCAAACAGATGCCTCAAATAGTGAATAAAAGCACTCTCAAATGAGATTCCCATATGTGAAACCAAATACCGTACGTATCATGTTGAAACCATGAACTTGCTCGACCGTCCCAGCATCGTCGATAAATACGGCGGTGTCAAATTGTTGAATTATATTGCATATCCTAGCTGCCTACAGCTTGCTAGTGTATTAGTTAGTTATTAGGTTCAACTGCTGGTGGTGTACCCTATCCTCTCCCCTATCCTATATCTTGTAAACATTCCTTAGTGAATCCCCTCTTTGCCCAATTCTCTTGCCATGCTCACTCTCGACACTCACGCTTCCTAGGTAAACCCTAAGTTACTAAGTCAAGAGTTAAGAGCGTGTTCTGACATGATATCAGAGAGTGGTCCCTCCTAGGACCTCGTTTTCATGGGCCCACCAAACCCGCGATCTGCCATGGCGAATTATTGTGCTGCTGGCATGGCTGCTACTGCTAGTAGCGCGAAATCCGCTGCTGGCTCGAACTCCGCTGCTTTTGCAGCACCCGTCGCGCTGCCCCCTTTCGCCTGCCCCGTCGCGCTCTGCCAGTGGCGAGCGTGCCAGCGAGGCGACGGCGGGCGCCAGCGCAAGCGCCAACGGCGGGCGCCAGCGCCAACGCCAACGGCGGGCGCCACCGCCAGCGCCAACGGCGGGCGCCACCGCCAACGCCAACGGCGGTCGCAAGCGCCAGCGCGGACGCCAGCACCGACGGCGGGCGCTAGCGCAAGCGCCAACGGCGGGCGCCAGCGCCAGCGCGACGCCAGCGCCCAGCACCAGCACTTCCGCCAGCGCCAGCGCATGGGGGGGAGGGGGATGAGGGGGTGGCGGGAAAGCTTCTGCCGCGCCAGCCACCTCCTCTCCTCTCCTCTCCTCTCCTATCCTCTCCTCCTCCTCTTCTCCTCTCCTCTCCTCTCCTCTCCTCTTCTCCTCCAGCCGCATCTCCTCCTCTCTCCTCTCCTCTCCTTCTGCCGCATCTCCTCCTCCAGTCTCCTCTCCTATAGCCGCATCTCCTCCTCCTCTCTCCTCTGCAGCCGCATCTCCTCTGCTCTCCTCCTGTGCACCACCACCAGCTTCCTCCTCCTCACCAACAGTTGTGTTTGCTCGTAGATGGCGAGCGACCAGCATCCTTCGCCCTCCGGCTATCCCAGCCCTCCTCCGCGCTCTCCGCGCCCTCCTCCGTTCTGGCGTTCACAGGTGCTGCCGCTCAGCCACCGCTGTTTCTGTGCCTATCCCAGCTACAGCAACCGCTCTCCAGGCGACCTGGTGCCAGACACCACTAGCTATAGCCGTAGGCAGTTACGGGGGTGTGTTGAATTATATTGCATATCCTAACTGCCTACAGCTTGCTAGTGTATTAGTTAGTTATTAGGTTCAACTGCTGGTGGTGTACCCTATCCTCTCCCCTATCCTATATCTTGTAAACATTCCTTAGTGAATCCCCTCTTTGCCCAATTCTCTTGCCATGCTCACTCTCGACACTCACGCTTCCTAGGTAAACCCTAAGTTACTAAGTCAAGAGTTAAGAGCGTGTTCTGACACAAATGTTGTAGCCTGTAGTGAGGTTTGTCTTAGGGGGTACAGATGTTAGAGTTTGTTATATGTACCCCAACCCACATCAATGAACCAACACTTCTATTCTTGACATGGTATCACCTAGGTTAGGATCCTGTGGGATCCCGCTCTTCCCGTTCTCGTTCGTCTCGCCCGAGCCTGTCTCACACTGTCGTACTAGTTGCGCCCGTCTTGCCCGAGCCTAGCGCCGGCCCGATCTAGTCCCGTTCGTTCGTTACCGCCCGTTCCGCCGACTTACTTTCCCCGTGGCGTAGCGCCCTCCCCCCCCCCCCCCTCCCCCCCCCCCCCCCCCCCCCCGCTGCCCGACGCGTCGCGTTTTCCCCCCCTGCTGCCCGTCGAGTCGCGCTTTCTCGTCAACACGTGCCTTCCCCCCGCTGCCTGTCGCGTCGCGCCTTCCCCTGCCCCCCGTCGCGTCGCGCCCTCCCCCCGCTGCTCGTCGCGACGCGCTCCCCCCGTCGCGTCCGTCGAGTCGCGTTTTCCCCCACTTCCTGTCCCGTCGTGCCCTCCCCCGCTGCTCGTCGCGACGCGCCCTCCCCCCGCTGCCCTACACGCCCATTCGCGCGCCGCGTCTGCCGCCGCGCCTGCCCGTTCGGCCCGCCGCGGGCCTGCTCGTCCCGCCGCCGTGCCTATTCGCGCCGCCGCCGCGCCTACGCGTCAGGCCCGCCGTGGGCCCGCTTGTCCTGCCGCCGCGCCTACCCCTCCTGCCCGCCGTCGCGCCTCCTAGTTAGGCCCGCCGCGGGCTTGCTCGTCCTGCCGCCGCGCCTGCCCGTACTGCCCGCCGCGGACCCTCCCTTATAGCCGCCACGGGCCCTCCCTTTCAGCCGCCGCGCCTCCTCGTTAGGCCCTCCCTTCACACTGCTGTGCCTACTCGTTCAGTCCACCGCGGGACCACCCCTTGCACCTGTCACGCCTGCGTTTTGCACCTGCCACGGTCTTGCCCTAGCCGCCCTACCAGTGCCGCCCGCAGCCGGACTTGTCGTTTCCGCTTACGCTATGGCGACCCCTAGGGTTCTTCGCTTTGACGCTGGCGGTAGACCGCTCGAGTTTCCGGTCTGGCTCCTACGCGCGCGTCGCCTTTTAGAGAGTCAGGTCCAGGCGGGCGAGTCCCTCTGGGCGCACGCTACTGGTGACCTTCCTGCGCCCGACGACCCTACGCCTTTAGGCCCTGCCCCTGACGACGCCGCCAG